AGCTGGAGTACACGGCGATGGCCCCAGCTGCACATCGGGGTCCCCCTGAGCGCCAGCACCATGGGGACACGGCTATGGAGCACCCCAGGAGCCACCTCCCTCTGGCTGAGGGAGCGCATCTGGCAGCAGAGGTGCTGGGCTGCCTATAGGACTGCGCCCCCAGTTTTCTCTGCTGTCCCTCCCCAAAGCAAGCAGCACCCAGGCAGTCACCTCTTGCTTGATTTGGGGGAAAGGGACCTTTCCCAGGGTGTGTGCCCGGAGGATGAGGAGGGGGTCCCAGCCAGGTTAGGGACAGGCCACCCGCACCCCAAGGCTTGAGCATCCCCCTCCACCCCCGCAGGGACTCCTACAGCCTGGGGGTGAGCTGGTGGCCTTTGGGCTGGTGGTGGGCTATGTGCTGACACGGGACGACTGGAAGCGCCCGCCGCTGGCCGAGGAGCTGGCCCTTTCCATGGACTTCAAGACCCTGACGGAGGGTGAGAGCCCTGGTGGCGGCAGCCAGTGATGTCCTCAGCTCCCTGGTCCCCAGCACGGCACCTCGTGGTGTCTGTGGGATGTCCCTGTGTACTCCGTCTAGGGGCTCTGCCCAGCTTGCTGTGACAAGGACAGCTGGGGAAGGACATGCTTGTTGGTGTAACGCTGCCCATTGGGTTCAGCCTCGCTTGGCCTTAATCTTCCTCAGCTCTGCCCCGCGCAGCCCCCGGTGACCCCCCGAGCCTGCCCCCAGCCCTGCGGGGACTGCAGTGCCGCAGGCAGGGGCAGGGGCATGATCACTGGGGTACAAAGGATGGGGGTACCCAGGCTCTGCCCTGCTCTGGGGACTGGGGGGGTGGGAGCCCAGATTTCCCCCCTGCGAGCGGCCGAAGCCCAAAGCCCGTTCCCAGTGCCGATGGGCAGAGGGGATGTTTGCCATCACCCAGATTTCCCACTCGCTGGCAGCCCATCGCCCTCCAGCTTGGCCGCACATCGGGGCTGCTCCCCTCAAAGGGCTCCCCGGGGGCTTGGAGCGACTCGGCGCCTGTGCAGGTTCAGCGTCTTCGTGTCTGAAATGTTTTCCCCTCTCGCGCGATGTGTTGTCTGCTCAGCGGATGCTCCTGATCTAATAAATGTTTGCAGCTAACCCTGTCCTCCTCCAGCTCATGGTTTTGGGGTACCGCTGAGCTCCCACGCACCATGGGCAGCCGGGTGAGGAGCTGCCCGAGGGGCTGGGGAGGGCAGGGTGGGTATTTGGGATGGGATTGTCCCATCTGGGCCCTGCACTGTGCACCTGATGCTGCGGAGCTCAGCAGTGGCTGGGTGAGGGACCCCACGGGGACGTCTCCAGGGTCTGGCCATGCACTGGATGTGCCCACAGAAGTGGGGGAGACCCACTGCCATGAGGAGGTGCATCCCCGATGTGGGCTCATGTCCCGGTTTCGGCAGGGATAGAGTTAACTTCCTTCCTAGTAGCTGGTACAGTGCTGTGTTTTGGATTTAGGGTGAGAACAGTGTTGATAACACACCGATGTTTTAGTTGTTGCTAGGTAGTGTTTACACTAGTCAAGGACTTTTCAGCTCCCCCCGCTCTACCGACTGAAAAGGCTGGAGGTGCACAAGAAGCTGGGAGGGGGCACAGCCAGGACAGCTGAC